GGATCACAGTAGAGTCTGCTCAGAAGCTTTCCTGCATCCAGAATAAAGTCTAAATGCTGACATTCAGGGGTCCTTTCCAGACTTTCTGCCCTTTTCTTCACCCCTTCATGGCCTCACCCCCTCTGCTTGTTCCTTACCATCTCCCCCCAACCGACATTTAATGCATAGCTATAGTGAGGTGAGAAGTAGAAGTCAGGCAGATGTGTTTTGAGTTCTGCCTCTGCCTTTTACTCGCTAGATGACCTTGGGCAGAATAAGACTGAACTTCATTCTTTTCTTCTATATAATAGAGATAATAGCACCAACATCCCTGTGTTGTCATGGGGCTTACTCAGATTACTCAGTGCAAGGACCCACTCAGCAAAGGATGCCTGATACTGTCATCACCTCCCGGCCAGTTGTCAGTTTGTGGATGTTGTTTCACATACTCTTTAGAACTAGTCTCTGAGGGACGTGAGGTGGATATTGTTACACGCCATTTCACAGATGAGAATATTACTTCTCAGGGTGGTTGATGTTCATAAGGTCCGTGGCTCACAGCGACAGTGTCAGGATCTGTGACTCCAGGTTTAGTGCCTCAGCTGCCGAGGTCGCCTGACAAGGTGTCCTTCATCTGCAGCCTCCCATGAGTCCTCTCGGCCTGGAACGCCTTCTCCTGAGGCTGCCTGTTGAAGTCTGTCTCCTTTCTCCTGCCCAAATTCCTGACCTCTCAAGAGGTGTTTCCTGTGAAGAGCTTCCTCTTCACAGGGGACCCTCTTCCTCCCCCAGAAGGTTACTGAGGTCCTTACCTCGGAATCCTGGCAGTGGACTCTGGCCAATCACAATGACTGTGCTTTCTTCATCTTTGAATGGGAGGCTAGAAAACACATCACATTGTTAGTGAATGTCAAGAATTTAGTGGGAGCATGCTTTAAACAATTTTTTCATGACAATTTAAGTCCTAGGATCAATTTACTAGAGTATGATCACATTTAGAAAATTAATTAAATAGAATACAAAATAGTAATAAGTCATGTATAGGGTGGCCATGAAGTTCATGTGCAGTGTAAATAGTTACTTCATGGCCACCCTGTGTAAGGGCAAGTTTTGGTTTCTCATGAATTATTTGTTTTAATTTGTGTCTCTGCGTGTGCTAGGATGCTAAACTTAATATTTACTGTAGAATGTGGTGAAAAATTTTGAAAGCTAGTATTTTATCTAAATTCTTAGGGGCTAATAGTAGACTTCTCAGAAAGAAAGGCTGAAACTGGAATTTAGGACTTACATGAGGCAGGATGCAGAGTGGATCTCTGGTCAGACACCTAGACCTTCTAACTGTGTGATTTTGGACGAGTTAACTTAGCTACCCTGTGCCTCAGTTTCCTCATTTGTAAAATGAAGAGAGTGTCAACCTGAAACAATTAAAAGGGTCAGATTCCAATTTTAAAAAGTTTATTCAAGTGAAAAGGTGCACGGAAATGGCCCTTCCAGGACACACCCTCCAGAGAAATGGGGACAGTGCTTGAGAGTTGGAAACTAACTCTTTGCTTATATGGGAAGCAGACAGAAATTTAACAGTATTACATTTCTTATACAAGGCTGCTTACAAGTTAAAACAAATTAGTTACAGTTTCTTTTCTTTTCCATGTGGTTTGTTTTCTTTTCTTTATTGCTAGTGTTCATTTTCTTTCCAATTTAAAAGAGTCTATTTAACATTCCATCTTAAGGCCCTGGAATAGCCATGACGTCTTTGTGTGAGAAAAGTAACAGAGAGGTTAATCTACAATGAAAGTCAACAGTAAGAGGGAAAGGATTTTCTCTCGATCCCTTCATCATTTACGACATTTTACAGAACAGTGTAGGTAAGGGAAAAGACTTAATTCAGACAAACAAGAGCTTACAGATGCTTGTCACACGACTTGCCCCCATAATGCACATTCCTTAAAGGCTCAAAATAATTTAGAGTTCCCACAGCTTAGACATTGAATTACTTATTTTCCTAAGAGTAACCACCTTAAATAGTCCTTAGGAAGGCTTAATGTTTAAATACAAGTAAAGTGCTTAAAACAATGCCTGGTGTATATGTGTTAGTTGGCTTCACAATTATTATTATATAAAAGACCGGAGTTACTCTGTCTTAGGAGTTATCAATTAACTTAATTCTATCTTAATTCTATCAATTACTTAATCAATTAAAAAATACTGTTTTATTGAATGGCTACCTTACATACCTCCAGCATTAGAGTATAATATAATATAAAATATATATCCACCATTATAATATAGACAAAGGAAATTCGGGGTATGATATGGACCCCAAAGTTACATCTGGAGGAAAATGAGGCTCACGTGTATGAAACAATCAGAGACTAGCAGACTGTCTCAGGCAGTGAAAATGACATCAAGTGAATGTAGGAAGTACTAGATTTTCATATTGTTATGGTAGCGTTTGGTACTTTCCTGAAGAAAGTTAAAGCTTTGCTCTTCAATTCCTTTTAGGGAAACAAGGTGTGTAGACCAACTCCTAGGAAAGTTTTGAATTTCCCTTCTGTGGCACAAGGGAGTAAGAAGCTTCTTTGGGGACATGATGGGGGAGAAGAGGGAACAGAATTAGAAAAGGGAATGTTTAATATATATATTGAATCAGAATCCTATTACCGTAAGTAAACAGCCAGAAGGAAATGCAAGGATTCCGTTTCTTTTTTGAGACAGAGTCTTACTTTGTAGCCCTCAGTAGAGTGATGTGACGTTATAGCTCACAGCAACCTCAAACTCTTGGGCTCAAGCAGTTCTCTTGCCTCAGCCTCCCAAGTAGCTGGGACTACAGATGCCCACTACAAAGCCCAACTATTTTTTAGAGAGGGGTCTCACTCTGGCTCAGGGAGGTCTCAAACTCATGAGCTCAGGTAGTCCACCTGGCTTGGCCTCCCAGTGTGCTAGGATTGCAAGCATGAGCCACCATGCCTGGCTGAGGATTCTTTTTATTTCTGTATTTTTGGGGACATGGGGGAGATTGAAACAAATTCCATTTAGTATGTTTACAGAATGCCATTTTACCTAAGATGTTACTCAGAATCCTGGAAATGATGCCAAACAGAGGAATTAGCTCAATTAAAGCACCTTCTCAATGAGAAGATTCAGTGTTAGAGCTATGAGCAAGTTAGTAATTTGGATTATTATTAATTCTGCTAAATGAGTAGGTGGTATACATGGAAAGACAAAGCAGACCTTTTTAAGTATATATATATTTTTCTAGAGCAGTGCTTTGAAAAATTATGTGCATTTGAATCAGCCGAGGATCTGGTTAAAATGCAGATTCAGATGCTACAGCTCTGAGATGGGGCCTGAGGTTCTGTATTTCCGACAAACTTCCAGGCGCTGCTGATCTGCAAACCATAACTAGGATTGCAAGATTCTGATGTTGCTTTCTATGTTTAAAAAAAAAAATACTTAGTATTTATCTTTCATAACACTGCGTGTCATATTTTCACTCAGTTTACTAAATTTCTAACTGATAATGTGCCCAAATTCCTAATTGCTAGCATCCAGCAAATAACTGGGCACCCATGTTTTCTTGGCTGAAGATTGCATGTTTTTGATACCATAACTGATACCTGTAGAAACAGTTCCCTTAATTAAAGGCACCCACAATTTTTGTTTTATTGTAATAAAAGACTATTTATGCAGTAGAAACACTACTGGAATCTCTTTTTTGAGGTTTTCGTAAACCAAATGCTGTTTAAATGTCCACAGGCTTAGTAAGAAGTAGCTAAATGCTCACAGGGAAAAGGAAGTTGGGTCATGGTAGAGGAAAGACAAAGATTAAAAGAACCACTCTTGATATATCTTAGCTCCTTCTCCTGTTAAGAATGTTTAAAATAGGGAGGTGCCTGTGGCTCAGTGGGTAGGGCACCGGCCCCATATACTGATGGTGGCGGGTTCAAACTCCACCCTGGCTAAACTACAACAAAAAAATACCCGGGCAGGCT